AAAAAAAAAAGAATGGATTTACAACCGTAACGGCGATAAGAGAAACGCAATGTACCTGTCAGGGTGTGAATGATGGAGGGCAGCTGGTGGCCTTGCTCTTGGTGGGCACGTGACACGCACAAGAGGTCAACGTGTGTTGACCACATGCATAAAGAAATGAGTGAACAAATGAACGAATGAGTGAATGGATGAGCAGAGGAACAAATAAACAGACCAGGATAAGTGGGCACATGCCACAGGTAGAACAAACCAGAAAGAGGTCACAAAGCACTGGCCTCTAACTAAGGCTGAGAGTGGATTGTTAACAGCCTCTCAGGGGAGGTTCACGTTTAGCCTAATGTGAGAAAATAAGTTTCAAGGACAGAACAGTGACGAGGCCGTGTCTTAACTCATTGCCCAAATTTCCTCCTGATTCTGAAACACACAAATACTAAAGTGATCTAGGGCTTAAGAGAGAGAAGAGAATCAATGTGGAAACACAGAACTGATGTGATGATATTTAGACACTGTAACCAGGCAAGTAAAAGATCAGACTTGTAAATCTTTTTCAGCTGGTCAGAACGGTCAAAAGAAATACCGATTTCTGGCTCTGATGAGGCGTTTGCTTGTTGACACATGGAAGTAAACAGTGCGGGCCGGTGTGAGCGGCGCGGGGCCAGGCCACGGTCGGAACTGTCCTCTGTGCCAAAGACGTGCGTGGTGGGCTCATCACCACTGAGCGGCTCGAGAGCTCAGACTACCGGTCGTAACAGGCATTTTGAAAGAAACGACAGCTTAAAGTGGCAACAACTAGAGAGAGGGCTGACTACAAGCCCGAGGCTGATCAATGAGAGTGACAGGAGGACATGTATCAGCCCCATGGAGGGCAAACCGATCATTACCCCACAACAGCTCTTGGGGCCCGAAAGGGAGGCACCCCTGGAAACCCAGCTGCTTCCAGGGATGACACCCTAACCCACAGGCATGCCTCCTGAAGGGGTACTCACACTGCAAGTACATGAAACAAGACACCGACAGCAAGGCGACTTGGGTAATTAATCTCATGGAACTCACGGCCCTTTGTAAATGGAGCCGAAGCTTGTGCATGTTTGTCCTTCCTCCAACAGCAGTGGCAGCAGTAACTCAGATGACGTGTCCCAGAAACCGAGACCATCAAATGTTGCCCCTGAATTGGTAAGCCATCATGGGGCACCTGGTCCCTTCTCCGGCCAGTCCGCCATCGTGGAATCTCGAGGGACAGAGGGCTGATCCGAAAGGCACTGCAGCCTTGGAAGGACAAACCATCCCTTCAGCACCAAAGAGGAAGCCCCACTGCTTGTCTGGTTTTCTTACGCAAGAGGAATAATCGAATAAATATACTGTCAATAAATCCCCTCTTTCTTCTGCTCCTCTCACAAGATAATAAACTTGCAGAAAGCTCAGTGAAAAAGTCTCCACTATAAAAAAAAAAAAAAAAAAAAAAAAAAAAAAAAAA